CAATACCTGATAACACACGCCTGAGAAATGATTGCGATTATGCTGATTGAATAAAACATTATGTGCTATGTTTTTTTTTTAGGTTTTCCAGCTGGAATACACTATGCATATTATGCTAATAGAAATATTAGCATAAGTTCTAGACTATTGCAAAGAGTGGGTAACCAGCAAAACGATACTCTAGTATCCAGGCTAATAATTCATTACCATCAATGAGTTCTACCTACAAACTTGATATAGCCCTGATAAATAATATATCTGAGCATATTGGCAAATGCTTCATTTTATTAAAGGCATACTTATATAATAACACAGCCTGACTATACTCACCAATGCTGTATATCCTGAGGAGTCTTGTACATTTGGGTCACCATCTTTGTCTAAATACTTCCTAACTTCCTCCACGTCCCCACTCATAGCTGCAGTCCAAATGCCTCTTTCAAACTCCATCTCCTCCAGGGTTTGAGTGACTGAAGAATAGGCCGCCTGACCCTCACTGCTGCAGCAGGCCCCATTCTCATCGTGACTGTGACCATGAGCATCATCCATAGTTGGAAAATGAGTTACTTCACTGGGTAAGTAGCCAGTAGCAGGTATAGTTTTACGACATCAATATGTAGATGTAGAACACTGTTATCAGGTAAGTATTCTTAGTGAAAGCAGATACCAGTACAGTGAATGTGTCTACTAGAATACAGACAATAATAAACATTGTAAAACTGGGTATTGACATATCTCCATGCTGGTGATAGCTCATTTGCATATTGTGGAAACATAGTTGAACATGTGCACACACTAGCATTTGTCAACAAATTTTCCACAAACATCAAATTAAGAGATGGTTTATTTTTAATGATTCTGCAGCTATATTCACTCAGAAATTAAATAATTGATGCAATCAAGGAACTAATAACAACTTTCTCTATCCTTGGGGGCGGAGCTACGTCACAATACGTTCCACGTTGCTAAGACGCGCACCACTGTACATGCATTTCTATGGGCTCTTTTCGCGCTGCTGTGGAACGCCGGTCGAGCCGCTGAAAATTTGAGAAAACGACACAAACTCAACTTTGAAGTAATCCTGAACAACTAAATTTACATATGTTACACACATAGGGCTAATCTTGTTACACTGTTCAGAGGATTCTCAACAAGCATCCCAAAGTACCGTTTTCTGCGAGTTTTTGGCCTTTGTTTTCACCGCGAGGGTTGCCAAGCGGTGAAAAACGCCCAGATGTCCGCCCCCGAGGATAAAAACTCCAGACATGTAAATATAAACACAGATACAAATTCTCTATGTTTTATAACTTACTCATAGGAATTTCATTTATGAAGTTTCATTTGTAATACAAAAAAAAAAAAAAAATTAAAAAGGTTATATAAATATTAAATCACACAGTCAAAAACACATGCAGTTTCTAGCTTTCATTCAAAATTCATTTCCATATTTACCTCTACAAATGTTGCATATAAATATAGTATGCATCATGATATAATATTTGTTTTAGCTATCAGCAACAGTTCAACACCAAGCAATCCATCATTTGATTGGCGGTAGAAATAATAATATTAGGTCATTACGAATATACCACCGAGTATGCACTCAAGCAGTACAGTAACAACCTCTGCTACGCGTTCGTCAGTAACTTAGATCACTGTACTTCTTTTGTGCATACTTTGCGGTATTTTCATATCCTTGCTTGTAGTAATAATTTAACGAGAGATAACGACTGGAAGTGGCAACAAAGCATGTTTCACGCTGTGTGAACATTTGCGTTATTCAACAACAAGATTCCATTTCCATCATACGCTAATGATGCTTCTGAACAAAAGAAGGAAAGTATTTAGATGAGACGTAAACACGATGCACAAATTCTAAATATGGAAGACATTTGAACATGTTCACAACAATTTTGAACACATCCGGACAAGTAATTTCTATTGTTTTGGTGTCAGATGTATACCGTTATTTTGAATAATTAGACAGTCACAGTAGCTATGTCACTTGAAAGCTAGAGCGCACAATATGGGTATAAACAATGTGCAGACTACTCTTGAGCCAATCACTATTAAATATTTGAATTTGAATGAAAGATGATAATTAGTATTTACAAATTGTTATATATCATGTTTATAAGTGATAAAATAAGTACATGAAGTTTACTGCCTTTCACTGTGTTTTTCCGGAGAAACAATTTTTACAAAACACAGACAAAAAATCTGCCAGTTTCCACTTTGAGACAATGGTCACTAAGTATTAACCTTGTCAAGGTTATTAACTTTCAGCTAAACGCACGTGACAAATAGCTCACGATAATGTCGCTTTGACTTCCGTTCAGCGGAATAACAGCATACATATTTTCAGACACATAAATTTATCCAAAAATATATCTGCTCGTGTTCTGCTAACTCCGACATACTGACCAGTTCTTACTTTGCGTCCGCGATTTATGTATCGTATGTGCTGTACTGCACGAACACCAGCATTAATAATTAAAATTATGAGACATCGTGAAACCGACAACGCCAGCAACCCGTACAAATTGGCCATATATCATTGACTAGAGTCAATAATATGGAATGCATTACATCTTAATTACATCACAGTAAGCTTACCTTTCAAACTAAACCACCATTTTCAGTGATGAGCAAATAAATCAGTCAAACACGAAAACATCACGCAGATGATCAACAATCAAAACAACCCAGTCGCCATTTTGGAAATGTATGCCAGAGAGGGCGTGTTTAGAAATGTCACTTTCGGCCAATCAGATTGTTGGTGTCAAGTTCTTATACATGTACGTATCTAAAACACAAGACTCTACTACCGCTGGTTGTATCAAATCGGTTTTACACGTTGATACAATCGATGTGGTATACTTTCGAATTGTTTTATTTGACAGTGTATTTATTTATTTTTATTTATTTATTTGTTTGTTTGTTTGTTTGTTGCAATCCCTTTAAATCAGAGGCTTACCAATAAAAGTACACATACGATCAGTTAGGAGCAGCAAAACACAAAAGTACAAATAATTACAAAAAGTTGTTTCAACAGGTATTTAAAAACTACACAGATGATTTGCTAAGTTCAACTGTATCAATGAGGAATTGTTTAAAAGTGCTATCTATTTTTCTACAAAGTTCAACATTGTAGCCCTGGCCTTGTACCCTAAAAGAGAGATTAGCAGTTCATTGCCCCCGAAAACATGTTTCCATATCTTCAATTCAGTATTACGTGTTTGATTTTATTTATTGTAACTTCTCTCTGGCTGGGAAAAAAGTCACATTCCATGATAAAATGTTCCATTGTTTTAATACCATTTCCACAACAGGGGCACGTAGAATCCTCTACATCTGTTCATTTTCTTTTCTTTTTTCGTATGCCACAGCTAGGGTATATGATTTGCCTTAAACTTAAGCTGCGCCCATTAAAGTTGTTAATGGAGTTTAGATAATTTTGAGGTTTCTTTTTCTTGGTTTTGAACTCATGTAGAGTTTCAGACTTCACTCGTTAATCATGTTTTCCTTCCACTCGTCAATATTATCCACAACCTTTTTATGGTATAATGTGTTAAGTTTATAATCTCTAATGATTAATATGTGTTACCCATTCACGCGCGGATTTAGAGGGAGGCCTTTTCAGCCCGCAAAAAAATGACAAATAAATTGACAAATCCTTCTCTTTCATGTGGCATAACCGTTTGCAAAATTTCAGTTTCATAATTTGTAATCAGTTTCCCATTGTAATAAGTCCAAATTCACCAAGTACTGCTTCATTCGCTATATGTCTACATGCACCGAGAATAAACTTTCTCCTTATCAGTGATATGATGCTTGAGAGTATTTCCCCAAATTTTGTCACAGAGTTTCAAAATATTTTTACTCATCGTACAAGTAACTCTCTTCATTTAAAGTTTTATTGGTTTCGTTCGCCAAAATCTTGCCAGTAATTTACTAGCATCTTTTTCACTGTTTCCTTTTCTATCACTAGATTAGAATCCTGACCCAAAACTACAGTTTTATATGACCTTTATTTTGGGCCTTTTAAAATTGGCCGGTATTCACATGCTTTCCAAATTTCCATACATTGCTTAACTCTTGCCAGGGTTATTTCCCGCGTAATAAGTTGTTGAGTATTATTTTTAACATCAAGGTATCTTTGCCACAATTGATGACCCTCTTTATCAGAACGACACGAATCATTGTTTTCAATCCACAATGTTCCCGACATAATTGTTTTCTCTCATTTATGAATATTTTAATCTCATTAGTAAACCAGGCATGGTATTAGTTTTAAAAGACTTTACCTATAACATCATTACACGTTTCAAGCACTTTATTTTACCATTTATTCCACACATTGTCACTGGCAGCTTGTTTATCAACCTTTTTTGTTTCTCTAATCCAAAGTTATTAACAACCAAATGGGCATGTGTTTTGTAGTTACTGGGCTAGATACAGTAAGTATATACACAGTCAGTATTGAAAATTGATTGATTAAAAGTTTAACGAATTTCCTAATATAAGTAGTAACCCATGAAGTCAGATGAGCAATTTCGTACAACGGTTAGTTACATGCTTTGACTATCATACTCGAAATCCTTGAAAAA